AATTAAAATAAACAAAGGGGGAAAGATCGGTAAGGGAAAGGCACTTACCTGCCTCTGGAGCGGAGACGGTTCACCAGGACCGGCCCGGCTGATGGAAGTGTCGTGAATGTATGTGTGCTTGTATGAATGTGAGTGTACGTGGCCTGGTCTAGATGACACAATACTGTCCTGGAGAAGGTATCCGCTGGTAGCCTCGGAACTATTCCCCTCTTGAGGCACTCTTTCTGTTTTGTCACGTAATGGTACAGCCAAACGTAGAACTTCAGAGGAAAATCACTATCGGAGTTGCACAATTAATTTGACAGAAATTAATAAGTCCTAAAGAACAATACGTGTTCTCGCAACGATTTACGCGGGTTTATACTTTCGTTACAAAAATAGGCGCGAAACTCAGACGTCAGTATAGATCGCAAAAAACTTTACAATGCTCGTCGAGAAATCCGGCCGATACCGCTGTGGAATGCGGCCGGGTGGGGGGCGGGTGACCTTGCTGTCGATGCTACGAACGCACGTTAAAGAATTACGTTCCAAATGTATAATATTTTTGCCTAAACAAACCCCCGCCCCGGATATAAGGAATTATGTCCGCGAGTAGATTGGCAAACGGGACAAGTTCGCGACGGCACGTTGCAAGACCGAATCTCCGACGAAAACCTCGGCCACTCTAGGCACCCCATCCGCTCCATACGATAACTTAACAATGCGCCCACGGCGCCAATACAAAGGTAGAGCGTTGGGTTCTTTAACCAACACGAGGTCTCCCACTCGAGGAGGCTCCGTCTTGTCAGACCACTTAATGCGCTGCTGAAAAAGATGTAGGTACTCTAGAGACCATCGGTGCCAAAAGCTCTGAGTCATCTGTTGCAGCAGGGCAAACCTGCTAAGCCGCGAAGCGCTCGTTCCCCTGAAGGGGTACTCGTGCAGAGCATTAAGCGGCTGGCCAATCAGGAAGTGTCCCGGGGTTAGAACCTCCAAATCATTCGGGTCGGATGAGAGGGGACAGAGGGGCCGAGAGTTGAGTACAGCCTCAATTTTACAGAATACAGTGGCGAGCTCCTCAAATGTCAAAATAGTTTCACCAATAACGCGACGGAGATGCGTTTTTGCCACTTTAACCACCGCCTCGAAAATACCGCCCCAGTGGGGACACGCCGGAGGGTCGAATTTCCACTGAATGCCCCTTTTTAACATAGCATTGCCTAAATAAGTCCGGTGGCTAGACAGAAACTCGAGGACCTCCTTTAGATACCTATCCGTGTCCTTATAATTCGTTCCGCAATCCGACCGGATCAAGTCCGGCAAACCGCGCCGCGATACGAAACGGCCAAACGTGGCCAAGAAGGCTTCCGTGCTGAGGGCGCTTACAAGTTCCAAGTGAACGGCTTTAGTGGAGAGACACACGAAGACGCAAAGATAGGCCTTATGCGAACGCGCGTTACGAAGGTTAGAGGACTTGACGAGGAAGGGGCCAGCAAAGTCGGTTCCGACTCCAGCGAATGGTCGGATGGCCCTGACGCGGTCGGGCGGCAAGTCACCCATGAGAGGCTGCGATATGGTGGCCTTCAGTTTATAACAGGATATGCACTTAAAGATGACGCTCCGAATGGTACGTCGGCCAGCCAAAATCCAAAACTCCCGCTGCAAAATAGCCGAAAGAGCGTTACACCCAGCGTGGGCATTCTTAACATGGTGGTGGGCTACCAGCAACCGGACAAGAGCGCCGTCCTTAGGGAGCAGCAACGGGTGTCGAGCCCCGTACGGCAGTTGAGAATTTTTCCAACGTCCGCCAACGCGCAGCACCCACGCGTCATCCAGAAAGAGGTTCAGGCGGGCCAGAGCGCCCTTGATAACGGAGCCACGCTTCAAGTTTTCAATGACGGGCTCAAATTGCTCCGTTTGGACCATACGGGTCCAGTGCATCAAAGCTTCACGACGCTCGCTAGGGGACAAAACGCTATCAGAGAGTCGGTTGGACGGATCTCTCGAATTGCGGACAAAGCGGCGCAACCAAGCAGTAACTCCCAAGAGCTTATCGAGGGAGCTGTACCGTTCCAGAAGAAAGAGATCCCGAGTGGGCTTATCCTTGCCCAGCTACTCGGGCTCGTAGGCCCGGCAATTCGGTAGGTTCGGAGTAATTGCCCAGGGGCTAGAATGACTAAGACCCAGATAACCAACCGGGACCCCACCACAGTGGGTGGTCAACCAGCGATGGGGCCTCACAGCCGCGAGAAGCGCAGTCTGCGGGATTCAACTCCGACATGTCTCCAGTTGAGAGAAGTCTCAGAACTCTGGATTTGAGACACGCGGTTCGCCACAAAGACCTCAAGATTGTGAGGTGCAGCTCGGAGCCAACAAAGTACTATCTCACTGTCCGACCATGCGTGGACGCCCGTAATGTCGATTACAGGCTTCAAGGACGAGTGAACGTGGTTGTGGAGTCGCGTGAGGAGAGCGGCACCTGACAGTTCCAATTTAGGGATAGTTAAGCGGGACCTAATGGGAGCAACCTTGCTTTTAGCGAGTACGAGATAGACGGCAGTATGACCAGAGGAACTCACCGTCCGCAAATATACGACAGCAGCATAGCCCTTCTCAGAGGCGTCGCAAAACCCATGTAGGGTAGCCCGGCATTTCCCTGGGGGAAGGAAGCACCTTGGCATGGAAACTCGGTTGATGTCCGGAAGGGAGAAGAGCATGGAGAGCCACTCTCGCAAGAGGACTCTGCTAATAGGCTCGTCCCAACCCAACCCGGACATCCAGAGCTTTTGAAGAAAGCACTTAGCTAAAAAGATGACCGGGGTGATCCATCCATTAGGATCGAAGGTGCGGGCTACGGTGGACAGCACGGAGCGTTTGGTCCATGCTTTGGGCGGTGGGTCAAGTTTTACTCTATACGTGAAGGTGTCCTGAACAGGCTGATATTGAATGCCCAGCACAGTCAACAAATTAGGATTCTCAGAGTGCTCGAATAGATGAGGGTCTTGTTGATCCTCTCCTGGGAGGTTCTTCAAAATATGAGGGGATTTCGACAACCACTTGCGCAACTCATAGCCTCCGGACTTCAGGATGGCAATTAATTCGTCTCGCAAGACCACAGCCTCCTCGACGGTGGAAGCGCCCGTACAAATGTCGTCCATGTAGACCGAAGTCTCCAAAATAGAAGCTCCCCGAGCGTATCTCAGGCGCTCTCGCTCAGCGAGTTCAAGGAGGGTTCGCAGAGCGATATACGGGCTGGACCGGAGTCCGTATGTGGTGGTGTTCAACTCAAACACCTGTATAGGATCGCTGGACTTCTCGCACCACAATATCAGCTAATATCGACGGTCATCACGATGGACCACTGATTGGCGAAACATCATCCGAATGTCCGCTACAAAAACCACTTGGTGTCGACGGAATTGGGTCAAGATGTCGGATATGTCCTTGATCAGTTTAGGACCCGAGTGAAGACACTGGTTCAGAGACACACCATTTGATGTGTGGGCGGAACCGTCAAAAACTACCCGAATCTTACTCTCAGGGGTCCTCAAGACCGCATGGTGAGGGAGGAAGTAGTGCTCCTGTGAACGCCATTCGAAGTTGGACGGTGACATGTGACCCAGCTCTTGATACTCGCGCATGAACTCGACATATTTGTCACGAAAGGATGGGTCGCGCCGCATGCGGCGCTCCATGGAAAGCAACCTCTTCTCGGCTAGAACACGAGATTGACCCAAAGAGGGACGTGAGTCCAGAAAGGGTAAGCGAGTGACGAAACGACCGTCAACCCGCCGGCCGGTATTGTTCTGGTAGAACAACTCACACTCACGGTCCAGAGGGTCGACTCGAGCTGCATGTGGTGGTTCCTTAATTTCCCAGAACCGCTGGACGGCGTCCGATAGGGACACGCCCACGACGGAGAGGGGGTCGCCGTCGGAGGGGGAGGAGACCACATAACCGGTCCAAAGAAGCTGTGCCCAAATATCGTGGAAAAGGCTGACAGGCCATCGGGCTGTAGACCTCGTATCTCACCTAACAAGAGGACCCCCAGCGTGTCGGCCCCCAGTAACAAATCTATAGGCCCAGGTTGGGCCCACCGAGGGTCTGCCGGTCTCAGAGCCGACGCACAGCGAACCGCGCTGTCATTTATACGAACGTTAGGGAGAAACCCTACAATGTCGTCGAGGACATTTACCTTGACTAAAATGCGAAGGTGTTTGCTGGCAGGGGTGAACACCAACTCCGCTTGTCCCCTAGGAGCAGGAGGCTCGGCACCTTCGATATCTACCATCGGACGTGATTCAGAGCTCCAGGGGAGCCCCAGTCTTCCCACCAACCAGGTAGAGGCCACACTACGTTGGGAACCCGAATCCAATAGAGCTTGAACCGTTAAGCGGTCGCCGCTCGGGTTGTACACCTTCACTGAGGCCGTCGGCAATAGAACAGTTTGACAGGTAGACTGCTGACGGCTCAAAGGCTCAGTGGAGGCGGCCATTGCGGGAGCTAGGGTGGCAGCCTCCTATATGGAGCTGCCTCTGTCGGACCGGCACCCAAACCGGAGGCCCCGAGAGCGGCACTCCGACGGCGTCCCGATGACCCTCGACTGGAATTCCCCGAACGGGCCGACCTGGGGAAACTCGGGGATCCTCGGCTCCGAGGCCCGGGGCCCCGGTAACCCGGTAGTGCCGGCACCGACCAAAGGGGGGCGGGCGGCGTTCCAGTCGCGGCCACTCAGTCAACGGGGGTGAGAACGATCTATCTGACCGCTGATTGGCTGCGAATCAACTATCAACCCGCTGAGGGGGGGTGAAGACCCCCCCGCCCCTGGGGGAACGACTCCCCGACCGATCGGGGGAGGGACTCTCCTCAGAACGAGGGGCGCTGTGGTCAACCGGTGAGCGCCGAGCGTCGCCCGACAGTGGGCGTGGCTGAGCGCCCCCGCCCGTGGGAGTCGGGGGGCTAACAGGGCCCGGAGAGGATGCGCCGTGCGCACCCAGGCACAACATGACGTGGTGGTTGCCTTAGCAGTGCGTGCAGAGCCGCTGGTGCTGGCAGTCTCGTTGTAAATGCCTCTCCAGGCACGAGTAGCACCAGCGGCGCTCCCTGGCGAAGGTTCGCCTCGCCGTAGCAGGCTTGCGCAACAACTTCGGGCACGACGCCGCCCGGTGGTAGGATGCTCGACAATAGGAGCAGGGAGGCGCCTCCCGGGCCGCTAGGCCACTATAGGAGGGTGGGGGGCGCCCTCCCGCGGGGGCTCCGCTCGGCCTCAGGGGGGTGGGCGACGCCTTGGCCGTCTGATTCCGCCTCTCCCTTGGCACCGCTCGGGAGGCTGCCGGGGGGCCCTCGACGGCGCCTGCTGCGTTCTCTAACTGCCTACACTGCTCCTCCAGGAACCGCAGCAGGTCCGTAAAGGGGGGAATATACGAAGCGCCATCCCCTCCGTACCTCTCCTCAAAATGGAGCCGAAGGTCGAGGGGCAGGCGGGACAGCACTATATGATGTAGCAAAAAAGACCACTCGTCCACAGGTAAATCCAGCCGCCGCAACGAGTTGCACGCTACGACGACTGGATTCACTATGTCCTCACGTAGTCTGGTCCGGTCCCTCAGCAGCGGGAGGTTCAGCAGCCTCCGAACATGCTCGTCAGCAATCCGCCGGACGTTGGCGTACCTTCCAGCGAGGAGGTCCCTGGCGTTTTGGTAGGCGTCGTCCGACACCTTAAGGTGGCCGACGATGCCCAGGGCCTCCCCCTCCAGTGATGCCAGGAGGTACCCCAGTTTTTGGCAGGGGGTCAAGTCCCTCCGGACGTCCACCAGGCTGTCAAACATACCGACGAATGTCAGCCATTCCGAGAGGACCCCGGAGAACCTTGGCAGGTCCAGCGTGGGGAGTCGTCCTATCAGCTCTGGCTGAGTGGGCGGCTTCCGAGGGGACTCGAGCAGGACACTCAGCCGAGCTTCGCGCTCCTTCTCCGCGTCCTTGGCCCCCGCCTCGATCAATTCGTCCGTGAGCGCGAGGAACTGCTCGTAGTCCGCGCGGCAGGAGTCCAGGACTCCCTTTTCTACCTCCGAGTCCTCGAGCTCAGCGTAAGCCTCCTCCACGGCAGCCCTTCGAGCATCGACCTGCTCGAGCCTCTTCCTCATATTATAAACCCTATCCGGTCGGCCTATCAAAGCGTGTGCGCTGGTAGCCCAGCACAGCTCAGTCCGCAAGCAACGAATTGGTAGCTTATGTGACGGCATCCCTACTAAATACAATAACAAAAATAACAAATACAGTTCCTATCAATCAAGTTAAATAGAAATTACACAATTATTAAATTAAATACAAGTTAATACGAAAAAACACAAATCAAATTAGCAAGTAACAACCCTAGTACGATCAACATATTATCCCATTACGTGACAGCCTACCTAATCAACGTACTTCGCCTCAACAAATTCTCGCATGTTAACCTACGGGCGTGGCGTTAGCAACTACCTACTAACAACAAAAAAAAGGCGAGCCACAAGGCAACAAAGAAAAGAATTATTTTTTATATTAATTATATTATATTAATTTTACGTATTACGGCCGGGCGTGATTGTAGACACAATCAACCACGCTCTGCTACCAAATGTTACGGCGTGCAGCTGCCTATCTAACAGTAGGATCTTCCTGGGCCCATGGTAAGAAGAACCTACAGGCAGATGCAGGTCGGGCCTTCAAGGCCAAAGTGGAAGGTCTCTAATTAAAATAAACAAAGGGGGAAAGATCGGTAAGGGAAAGGCACTTACCTGCCTCTGGAGCGGAGACGGTTCACCAGGACCAACCCGGCTGATGGAAGTGTCGTGAATGTATGTGTGCTTGTATGAATGTGTGTGTACGTGGCCTGGTCTAGATGACACAATACTGTCCTGGAGAAGGTATCCGCTGGTAGCCTCGGAACTATTCCCCTCTTGAGGCACTCTTTCTGTTTTGTCACGTAATGGTACAGTCAAACGTAGAACTTCAGAGGAAAATCACTATCGGAGTTGCACAATTAATTTGACAGAAATTAATAAGTCCTAAAGAACAATACGTGTTCTCGCAACGATTTACGCGGGTTTATACTTTCGTAACAAAAATAGGCGCGAAACTCAGACGTCAGTATAGATCGCAAAAAACTTTACAATGCTCGTCGAGAAAACCGGCCGATACCGCTGTGGAATGCGGCCGGGTGGGGGGCGGGTGACCTTGCTGTCTATGCTACGAACGCACGTTAAAGAATTACGTTTCAAATGTATAATATTTTTGCCTAAACAGTATTAGTTGGCACAATTTTCGAAGAGATTAAATTGATATACTTGGTAGATTTTGAATACCTTGTGAAAAAAAAAAAAATTGTGTCTAATCATGCAGTTTGGAAAATAATAGGTACTTAAATGGTATTAAAAATCTACTAAACCTGAGTTTAATTATTGTGTAAAATTAACTATAAAAAGTATATACGGTCCTTATAACAAAAACACAATTTTTGTCTGTCTGTCGGTCTGTCTGTCTGTCTGTTTGTTCTGGCTAATCTCCTAAACGGCTGGACCGATTTTAACGGACACTGCACTTTCACTGGCAGATAGCTAATATAATAAGGAGTAACTTAGGCTACTTTTATTTTAGAAAAATAATTAGGGTTCCGTGCAACATAATTAAAACCCTAAATTACACGCGGGGGAAGTCACGGAGAACAACTAGCTTTTAAAAAAAATAATTTGACGGAGTTTATCGCGTATATTAACTTATTCCCGACGTTTCGAGCACTGAGGTGTATGACGTCCCAATGTCATACCTACCTCCAGATGAAAAATTATTAATTTTTGTTCCGATCTACGCAGTATGAACTTACGGTATCTTGAAGGGTACGGGGTAAGTAGTAAGGGGTTGGGATTTAATTTTATTAATTATGGAATCCCAAGCAGATGGTAGTACCCAGCCATCTTCTCTATTGAAATTAGGATGTTTTTTGATTTCAATAGCCTCGCAAATCATCCTTAGAAGGAATCGGTGTTCTTTAGCGAGGTTTTGTGGTCTATCAAATCTGATGTAGTGACGGGGGCGATCCTGTACGTATTCACAGACTGCAGACTTCCCGGAGCGTCGATTCTTCACATCAGCTATGTGTTCTTTATCGCGGGTTTTAATGGATATTTTCGTTCATCCTATATAAGAGAGACCACATTCTCAATCTAGCTTGTACATTCCTGCATCTTGCAGAGGTACATTACACTTGACTGATGGTAAAAACTGACTAATCTTCTTCGGCGGCTTGAAGTATGTTTTAATGGAAGCACGCTTCCAGAAGTAGCCAATCTTGTCAGTAACACCTCTGGCATATGGCAGTACAGCAGGCACTCGCTCAACTGTGGCCGGCTTCACTCGTTCACTGTGACCTAAGGCCCGGACCCGAAGCATATTGTCCTGCAAAACTTGCTTGACGTGTTAGAGCTCGGCGGCCAGGTGTGATTTACCCCCGGTAGCTAACTGTGAAGGATGTTGATGAGAATCACCGTTTAAATATCTATCTGTATGGGTCTTTTTTCTATACACAGTGTGGCTCAAGGTGTTATCAGGATTCCGAATTACTAACACATCTAGAAAAGCTAAAAAATTTTTTGCCTCTAACTCCATTGTGAACTGAATTTTAGAATTTATGGAGTTAAGACGGTCTAAAAATGCAATTATTTTATCTAAAGGTAGAATATTGAAAGTGTCGCCTACGTACCGCTTAAAGAATCTTGGGTTTACGGGAGAAGTAAGCAGGGCTTTCTCCTCAAAGTCTTCCATGAATATATCGGCTATAATAGGAGATACAGGTGAGCCCATCACCAAGCCATCTACATGCTTGTAGAACTCTTCCTTCCACAATAGGTAGCCAGATGTAAGGCAGTGTCTAAGTAATACTGCATATTCTACGGGCATGTTGTTTTCCTCCAACCTTCTAGTAACAATCGAGATGCAGTCTTCAACAGGTAAGCATGTGAACAGAGACTGCACATCAAAACTGACCACAGTTTCATTGTCTGCCAGATGTAGGTCTTTAATCTCGCTGACTAAATGGTAGGAATCCTTTGTGTGTCCTCTTGTACTTATGTCCCTTGAGCGGTGAGAGTATTTTCGCTAAGTGCTGAGCCAATCTGTAAGTTGGTGAATCGATTTGGCTTACTATGGATCGTAGTGGAGCATTGGGCTTGTGTATTTTTGGTAACCTATTGCACCAGGCATTGGCATGGTATTATCGATTTTTACGTCTAGATTTAATTTTTCGGAGTGTTTCTTTATGAGGTCACTAGTTGTTTTAAATGTGTTGTTTGTACGCTCCGGTCTGTGGACACGTACAGGATCACCCCCGTCACTACATTAGATTTAATACATCACAAATCCTCACTAGAGAACACCGATTCCTTACGAGGATGTTTCGCAAGGCTATTGAAATAAAAAAAAAAACATCCTAATTTCAATACAGAAGATGGCTGGGTGCTACCACCTGCTTGGGATCCCATAATTAATATAATTAAATCCCAACCCAAGCATACAACTGCAAGACTTCAAGATACTGTAAGTTCATACTGCGTAGATCGGAACAAAAATTAATAATTTTTAATCTGGAGGTAGCTGTGGTTAACAATGACATTGGGACGTCATACACCTCAGTCCCCCTCGTGACCATGGGTGATGTAAAGTGCTAGAAACGTCGGGAATATAAAATAAGTTCATATACGCGATAAAATCCGTCAAATTAGTTTTATTTAAATGTCTAGTGTTCGCGTAAATATAAGAAATCAATAATTTTTAAATTTTATAATTAGATAATGTCTTCGACATCCGTATCTTTAAGGGTATTCTGAACATTAACGGCACAAGGAAACTTTTCATATTCATATTGATACATTTCAGTAATTATCTTTAATGTACAAAGTTGCCACAAATAGAGATGATTCATTTGAATGCTGACAATGTTCTTGTAATTTTGCAGATGAGTATGAATGCATGCAAGAACAATTCTGTTTTTATTTTATCCAGGACACGCATGGCTATAAAACATAATTTAAAATAAAAAATTTTGTACAGCCGACCTCAATATAAGTTATTTAAGAATAACTCAAAAACTATTGGTCTGACCTTGATCAAGTTCATATGGGACCACAAGAGAAGTATCAGCTTTCATATAAAAAAAGAATCATCGGAATCGGTTCACCCAGCACTAAGTTATGAGATAACACACATAAAAAAAACATACAGTCGAATTGAGTACCGTCTCCTGTTTGGAAATCGGCAGAAAAAGATGTCCGACTGACCTACGATCGTCTACCATCTTGATATATTTTTCTAAGATGGTGCACACTTCGTTAGCTCCACGTTGCCTTCCGTCTCAGTCCAAGAATAACAATAGACTTCTCTAGTTCTGGACTCATAAAAAGTAAGATTATATACAGCTAATTTGTGACTGTAGTATAATAACATACTTTGGCCATATGGCGTATTTAAAAATTTTGGAAATCGAAATATAAATTGTACGTACTTAACGAATCATAATCAAAACAAAATTTAATTTCAAAAAACTTAACTGAATATTTTTTGTACGTTTTTCACACATCTAAATACTAAACCAACTCTTAATATTTTGTCGAGTAAAATAATCCATACTTAATAAAAAACTTATTCGATTTCATTGAATGTAAAACATTCTAAATAGACACTCAAATACTTAGATATGTAAAGGAAAGTTACTAAAACCTTTCCCTTTAAGAAAACTGCGAAAAAAAAATATACTAACGCGCCATGCTTATCAATTTCTACATAATGCAAAGTTACTTATCAATATATATGCTAGTATTTACGGCCGGCAAAAAGTACTAAAGTTATATCAATGACTCAAACTACATTATTTAGAGTTGCTGAACAAAATTGAAATGTCTATTGTCAGTAAAAAAAATACTAAACTGACAACGACTAAAAATTAATCGTAACTTGTATTACGTAAGTATTTGTCAAAACATAAAAATTATGATAAAGACCATATTTTGCAGTGCTTAAGCGCCAAAAAAAGACTAATCGACGCAGAAAAAAAAATCCAATCCAACGATATATATAACACATTTTGGCCAAAATGGCGCTTAAGTAGTATTGGCTTTCCAGCGAAGTCAGTAAGTTAAAAGTTAAACAGTTACAGCCTATATTCGTCCCGCTGCTGGGTACAGGCCTCCCATAATTTCTGAGTGGGTTTTAGGGCAAGGAAATGTCCACTCCTCAATGCGCGTTAGCAAACTTCACATGTCTTCGAATTTTTTTCTTATTTCTCAAACATACTGGTTTCCTCCCGATGTTTTCTTTCACCACCGAACACGTGGCATATCAGCACTTAAAATTGCAATTAACAATTTCATTGGCACCGGCGGGGATCGAAGCTGGGTTGCTCGCGTACTATGAAATTATATACAAATACAGCGAGCACTAATTATCTGAGCCATAGATAAGATAGAGCTAAGTATGAATAACACATTAAAAGAACAAAGCCCAGAAAGGCAAGGAGGTAGATCAAATTCGGCCTAACGAAGATGAAAAATCTATGTCTATTACGTTACAAAAGGTACTTCATATGCCATCTAGTAACGTGTCGTTTCTATACTACCTAAGGAAACTGAACGTAAATATAGTACGGCTGCTGAGTTATTACCGATTTGACAGATTATTCTTAGATTAATCGATATAACCTTGCACGAGCGACACATTTGCCGAATGATTTAGAATACCTCTTTAATATAAAACTTTATGTCAAAATGTCAGAATCAAGTAATTTTCCAATAAACTCTGTTTCAAAACTTAAAATAGTTTGTAAATAATATGATAACATTTATTTTTTGTTCTTTGGCGCGCTTGTACAAAGTCACATCGTGCGTCTAGTTTTCATAGTGATGTGCTTGATAGTATTCGGTCCGAATTCATTGGAATAGATATGATATTTATTTTATTTGGATATTTTTATTTTACTTATTCCTTCGAGCAACTAGACTATAATGCTACCATTTTTTTGCGTCTCCTAATTGCACTGTGTTGCCAGTATCTCTATGATTTTTAAGATTTATGTGTGATCCAAAGACAGAAATACTGTTTTCTATGTTTTAAAAATAAATACAATTAAAATGATTATGTATAATTTTTAACATTCATAATATATAAAACAACATTTAATAAACATAATTTTCTCCCTCAATAAAGCAATGTTATAGGTGTATTTTTTTAAGTAATTGGCGATACTATTCTGGCAACACCCTTACCACCGCTATTTTAATCTGTTTAGTCGTCTTCCGTACTCTCGTGCGCACAGACTACGTTCTCTTGTGTAACCGTTGTTTTTTGACTCGGCTTTCTCCTGTTTATCGTTGCGCTTTATTGGACTAATTTTGTTTGTGTTTGGTAATTTTGTTGAAAATGCCGAAACGAGGAAAAACATTGAATAGTCAATGTCGTGAGCTTGTACTAAAGCTACAGGATTACTTTGAGCGTGAGTCACAAAATGGCGGCCCTTTGATTCCTGTCACTCAAGTGAAAGATCGGGTTTCACAAGCTCTTGGAATTGGTGCAAAACCACTATATAATATAAATAAAGAAAAATTTGGTGCTTCTGGAAGTGAAGATAATGTTTTACGCACTCCTAAGAAAAAACGAAGACAAAAGCCCGTGACAGGTGTTGATGTTTTTGATGCAGATGCAATAAGAAACCACATATATGGTTATTATACTAGGAACGAGTTTCCAACTAGACGTTTGCTTTTGGTCTCTTTAAAAGAAGCTGGCTTGTTTAAAGGCGGTAAAACGGCGTTGTCAAAACTATTGCACGAAATTGGGTTTGAATATAAAAAAACGAATAAAAGGAAAATATTAATGGAAAGATTTGATTTAATAATTAAAAGGAGCGAGTTTATAAGAGAAGCCAGAAAAATCGAGTCTTGGAACAACGTCGTTTTTGTTGACGAAACATGGTTAAATGCGAACCACACTGTGTCACGCATGTTCCAATTGGAAAAGGATCGCGACTGATAATTTGTCACGCTGGTTCTGCTGGAAGTAGTTTCTTTGAAAATGGAGTGCTGGCTTTCGCGTCAAAAAGTACTTCCGATTACCACGAGGAGATGGATACAGACACTTTTACGAATTGGTTCGTAAATCAATTATTACCCAGCCTGCCAGAGCCTTCTATCATAATAATGGACAACGCTTCATATCACTCGAAACAAGTGAATAAAGCGCCTACTCAGGCCGACGAGAAAGCTGATCTCGTAGCATGGCTACACCAAAATGGAATTGAAACTACTGCCGAAATGCTAAAGTCTGACTTAGTAAAGTTGGTACGCGAAAATAAAACATCAAGAGTCCGTTATGAAGTAGATGAGATAGCTCTAGCACATGGACATCGGGTACTTCGAATTCCGCCTTATCACTGCCAGCACAATGCCATTGAGCTAATATGGGCACAAATCAAAGGTATTGCTTTTTATCGCATAAGTTATGAATATGAATAATTTGTACTATTATAACATCCAATATTCAGCATATAAGTAAAAAGATACATAACTAAGAAATAAATATCTCATGTCCCTTACATGTAGGTAATTGTGTAACATTTCGTTTATTTAATGTAATAAATTAACGTTATTTAATGTTTACATTACAGGTTACGCAGCTCGTAATAAAACGACTCCGCCATTCAGTACTAATAAAATGATGGGTCTATTAAAAGATGCTTTCAGCAAAATAACGAAAGAAGATTGGGTCAAGATCGTCGAAAAGACTCGAAAACTAATAACAGAAGATTATGAACGCGATATAAGAGTGGACACCATTATAGAGAATGAAATTGTCATACAAGTGACTGATAGCGATGACAGTCTGAATAATTGTTTTAATAAATGATAGGTAGTCATTTATTAAAACATCTTGTACCTACTCTATTCATTAAAATGTGTAACAGTGTTTACAAATTTGTTTTATTTTGATATGTCCTCGACCAATTATCTACGCCCATCAAGGATACTCCACCTAATAAAGAACCTGTGTCTTTAACTATTATTGTTTTGATTTTATTTAATTACACACTATACTAGAATATTTAAAAACAAACTGTTCCCAAATGATATTAGGGTTACTGGTTCAGTCACTTCACTAGTATTGTCAATTCGTCATGTGTCAAATCGGTAATAACTCAGCGGCCGGACTATAATACTAACATTTACGAAGCACGTTCGTCAAATGATGGCCTTTGTTACTAATGGTATGAAGTTGATGAAAAGAAAGGAAGTGATGAGATGGGAACGGCATTGTATCTTTGGATCAAACGTCTACTTCAGTAAAAGAAATATCGATGTTTTCTGATACCTGCGCAAGCCAAAAATAGGAATAATTTTTTATGTTTACAGCTGTATTTGGTTCTGAAAATACACCTTGAGGTTATTGAAAACATATACCTCGAATCCCGACACACTCATATGGAGGACTACAGTAAGAATAGCGAAATTGAAAATCAAATGCGCTTTATGCCAGTTTTATCGATGATTAATTTGCAACATCGTTAGATTTGCCAAGCCTAATAGAAAATCAAAGAAAAGCACCATCATGAAAAAATCGTACGAACCTATAGTAATGGATAACAGTGAGATTTTAGACTTAAAGGATTTACGAAATAGATTAGCCTGATGGAGAATAAGTGCAGTGGATAAAAGTGAAATGTTCTAGGTTTAAAAAAATACCCTAAAATCGATTAATAATATATATACAACTATAGGTCACACTATAAAGAACTGGATGTGTCCAAAAGGGGGCAACTGAAACAGTCACCTAAATGTCTGCGAACACAAGAATCTAACGTAGAAATTTTTACAGACAAATTTGAATATTACACTTATGTTCTAAAAAAAGCTTATGACAAACAGCTTCTAATAAAATAAAACCAAAGCAAAGAAAAATGATTTATTAAAAATGTGCACTGAAAAAATAATACCTCCTGAACTGCATCATTTGTATCAAAACCTACCAGATGAAGACGGTCGAGATGTTTTATCGGAAGAAGAATATTCGGGCGCGGTAGTTGAGTAGGTAAAATAAATAGGCATGCTTACTTCTAGTTCATTTATTTAGTTCCAAAGTTTACTTCTATGACTGATTTATGTGCCAATGTGACTTTTTTGCAAATAGAGATTGTTTTTTTTTTAAGGATTATGTTTGAAAGATAAAGAATACTGTCTTGTTTACATTTAAGACTGATTAATACAAGTTTCTTCCATTGAGAGACTAGTCTAGTGTTAGTACTTAGTCTAATTCACACGACTAAAACTTCAATGACAAGAAGTCATAAAGTCAAACTTTGTTTTTAAGCTTTAAAAAAATATCCGACGTTATTTTGTACAACTTTAGGTTGATTTTACTAATAAATGTATTAAACTTTCTAACGTTGTTTTTTATTTTCTTTTATTTATAATACTAATGATGATAAAGGGCATTTAATGGAAGCAAAACTAATTCAACGATTTCTTAAAGTTGTGTGAACGTCACATAAAGAGTTCTTGCAGTAAGCCGACGATATGTAATATGTAGGTTCTCTCTACGCGTACTATTTCAAGTATGTAATTTTTCTGAGGATCGTGAATCGTGTTACACTTTGGTATGAGCTTTTGATTATTGCTCCTGTTTTAGCTTTTAAATAATAGATTAATACATAAAAGTCGTGTGATTATGTACCTATTATTGGAAACGATGTAACAAGTCCATCAATGGCTGAGATTTATATCGCCATTAATGATATAAATCTCAGGTTTTTTTATCCACATATAGGCCACCTTAACTACTATATGGGTTCAGATGTCACCAAAATCTCCCAATAACTTCGCAACTTGACACAAAATATTGTGAAGTTTTGCTAACAAATTACAAATCATACTAGGCTGTATGGTTTGTCTGCCTTAATTGGCGAATCGTCACAACAAAAAGCAACAACTAACTGTCTATGGCTCCGTTAGGAGTAATACATAGACATAACAAACCATAGCTTGCTACATATTTATTTATCTATGGTCAATCCTCTATCTACGGAGTAATAGTGTTCTGTGCATGTGTTCTGTGGTTCTGTGGTCTATGGTAACTTTGACACGCCGGTGTTGTTAGTCGTTTGTACTTAACATTTGGTGTTTAGGATAAACAAACTAATTAGTTTTAAATCTTTCTATTAGAAAATTGTGCAAAATTCCTGGAAGAAGAACAGCTAAGTAGCAGTGATTGCTGCGTATTTATTTAACAAGAGTTTTTATAATCAAAGGCAGGCTACTCAATTTTAAAATTTTTGAAATTAAATTATTGAAATTAATTTTTTTGTATAAAGCCTGATTTACAGATCATTGGAGTCACTTTTTTTTATTTATGTCACTATATCAATTCAATTGTACACAGTTTGCATTAAAGTAATGAGTCATATTGATAAATATTTTGCCTATTTTATCTGTATAAGTACATAACAAAACAATAATAACAGTACAATAACTTATTTTTTTAATTGATATGCAGTTAAATTAAAACCTAGTTTTGCAGACTCATATGGATTTAATTATACTAATAATGTATGAATAATTATTGTTTACAAATCTTAAATAATTTGATGTTTCAATTGATTATCATATGTGTATATTGTTTGCAGGATTAATCTTTGCTGTATAACATAGCAGTCATGCAGATTTTCGAAAAGTAGATAAAGCACATACAATGTTTAAAATTGAATCTTATATTACTCCAATATTGCTGAGTTATGTTGATAAATATGTACGAGATTTTAAACCTGCAGATGCACAAGTAAGTTTAAAAGATAATCAATATTTTGTTTCCGATAAGTGGCAACATAGGAAAATACATAGAAGATTTAAGGAATTCTCATAGGTGGTTGTATAACCCATTCTATGTTTATACCAGATGTAAAGCATAATGGTAATGAGGGATTAGTGAGACTATTTATGTGATGTAGAGCAGAGACAAAAGTTATGAAGGATGTGGTAACATTCTCAAATTTCCACAACAATTTCTTGTATAACTTTAAGTACTCTTTTTATCCACCAGTTTGGGTATTTTACATCTGGTTAAAATACATAGAAATGCCTTTTATGTTACTTAATGGCAAGGCTGAGGATTGTTGATGTTACAAACCTGAAGTAACAATGTTAGTGTGCCGTAGAGAGAATTACACTTGGGGTTTTGTTAGTAGATAATTTTTACATTGAAGATATCTGCAGAATAACTAAAGTAACTGGCATACATATTTCTAGTGTTCAACCAAGGCTTCAGGTTAGGCTATCTTTGACTAAAAAAAGAAACTATCCAATGGCCCAAATCATCCAGGTTTGGCCAGACCCAAATGTAGCTCTGTATCTCTAGCCACTGCAGCTTATGCGAAAAATTGACATGCCTAACCCACTTCATTCCACACAATATATCTCAAAGCAACTTATTGATACTACGGTACCTAAGTAGTTCCGATAAGAAAATATTTATCTTCATCAGCATGTAAAAGTTCACTGCTGGTCATGTGCCTCCCTTGATGCATGGAATACTTGCCTTAATTGTCCTTGACAAACAGCTTGACAATCTCAGTCTCAGCCTTCTTGTACATTTGAAGCTGCTTGCACATCGTCTGTGGGGGTATTTAATCTCAAGCATAAATAACACGGTTATACCACGTTCCGTCAGAAGTCATAAGATTTTTACAACACCCCCAGGGGACGAAATGAGGTGATGAGATTAATTTTATGTAGACGACATCTTAAATGTTGTAGAGTTAAATTAATTCTCATTTTGTCATTTTATATAAGGTCTCATTATGGGGAGGTGGAGTAGCCCTTCACAATCTAGTCCTGAAGGCAGATGTTCTGCAGCAAGAAGTTGCTTTGCCCTTCACTCTTGTGTCAGGCCGCATTCATGAGTTGCTAATCCAGGTGCCATGGACCAAAATTATGTCGGAGCCTATTATTGTCACCATAGACACAATAGGTAAGTGGAAAATAAAGATTTTAAAGCCTTTTACATTCTGTTTTCAAAAGATAGATATAGTATAATTTCTTGTAACTATATAAAAAACTTTGAGCTAAATACTAAACTTGCAACATGCTAAATACCGAGTATTCTGTGGACTTCCTGGCCGAATATTAGGCAAAGTATTCAGCCAGGAAAGGGAGTATTGTTTATTCTTCAGAGCCCCTCTTCTCAGAAGCTGGGATTGTCTATGAGAAGAAAAGGAGTAAACTACTGCCTGAAAATGAAGAAAAATTAGTCTTTCTGCACTATTATCTTCTACTATAATTATGATAATTCCAGTGCATAGGCATTTATCTGATACTTCTTTTCTCTTAAATTTTTATAATATGGAAGTTAATTATGTACCTATGACTACTTTAATGATTACAAGAAAAAAAGTGTAATTAAATTAAATATTTTATTTTTACCAATTATCTGAATTTTTTTTATAGGATAGGGTGACAAACGAGCACACAGTCCACCTGATGGTAAGTGGTTGCTATGACCCATAGATATCTACATTTATCCTCAATTAAGAATCAAAAAAATAAATAAATAAAATACAGATGCGTCGTTACCCGTGACGACTTAGATGGAATGCCTCTTTTCCAGTAAAAAGGGTCTCCGGTTCTCTACACTCACCATACGAAACACAGCAGTATCAAGCTGCCATTTTACGCTGGTATTCTGTGAGGGCGTGGTCCTACCCTGGTCTAATATATCTGAAGCTATCTATATCTATACTACTAATATAGCTGAAGCATGGCTCCACCAAGTAACTAAATAGGCCGAATACTGAATAATTGCCGAATATTCGTTACAAGTCTATCAAAGACCATTTGGTAAAAAATGTAAAATGCTGTCTTTAAATAAAAGTATAACTTTCTGTTAAAAATTAAAGCATTAAATAAAAATAATAAATTAAGCATACTAAGTTGAACATTAAAAATAAGAATTGGTGCAGTTCATGTAGAGACATCAGTGTAATCTGTTGAACAGGTTGTGCCTCTAGTACTTTTAAAAGTCTTTGTTACTTGTACAGTATCCATGATGGTAATAATTTTATTTATTGTGTTGTAGGATTAAATTTGGCATCTGTAATTGAAAGCATTTACTCTTTAATGTTTAACTTACATATTAGTCAAAACTAAGAGTTATAATGCTATGAACAAACACAAAATGTTGTGAGAAGCAGTAGCCTAGTTGTTACCTAAGTATTGAATACTAAAATTTTATAAGCAGTAGTTAATTTTTGAGATGGGATTTTATGGTGTAGTTGCCTTGATTGTTATTGGTTCTAACAAACATCAAATGTTTGAAAAATAATTTCATATGGAAAGTAATTTTCATACAATTAGTAATACATTATAATTTTACAAGTTAATTGTTATAGTTGTAGTCTTGTGGTCATAATGGAACTCATGACATTTTAGCACACATTAAGTCTATCCTAGACTTAATGTGCTCGTAAACTTGGCTATACAATCCTTTCTCAAGAACGCACCATATTCATATTGCAACTGGATATTTTTTGTTTAATGTTAAATTAAAAATTTTAATACAGAATGTATCCTAAGTCTCCATCCACCACCTGAAGAAAGTCCACCACCTGAATCACCAAGGTAATTGTTAACATAATAATATGTTATTGTAATAGTAAATGTTGTTAGTTGTGAAATAACAGAAAGCGTAATTGTTGCTTTGTGTTTATTAAAATCATATTTAAACAATTTATAATCAAGATACATAAAAATATTAGTTTTTTTAGTCCATCTTAAAAATTCTTAGTTAAAATGTATATTTTAATTTCTTGTCTTATGGGTCATGAGGGACAAATTAAATATACTTAAATAAAAATGAGATTACTAATTAATTATGTAAAATTCACCCTATTATTCTTTTTTGTTTTCTTGAATTATTTAGAGTTATATCATAAGATTACCTATAATACAGTTTCTTATTTAGAGCGCTACTTAAAAGACAAATCTGTGCAATGGTAGGACTCAAGTGGTGGAGGCGCCGCCGGGGTACATGCGCGCATTGGTACGGAGAGTGGTGAGCAACATTGCTCTGCGCGTGCACCATCTCATCGTGAAGTATGTGCAGGATGATATTGTGTTGTCATTGAATGTCAAGCACTTAGCAGTCGATAGTGCTGGTCCGGACTGGCAACCTGCCTTCGCTGGTGAGACATTTAATGAAATATATTTGCTTAATACCTTGCCAATAAAGACATTGTTTTTGTAATAAGGACACGAGTTTTAAATATGCATGCATAGTTCTAGTTAAACTTAGAAATTGTAGAATCCTTTTGTAGTAAAAGATATATTCCACATACGCCCTTGGACCTGTGTATCAAATAACATAGCTCTCAGATAATTACTGGCCAACTGGGCGTATTCATTCATGGATCGAGCTAACATTGTTCTTTTCTTTGAACAGTATGAGAATATGATGACATAATGAGTTATACACAGTTATTAATTCATTCATGGGGCAATGGCTTTTACAACAATGTCTCAGAAAATATACATGGTTATGGTTGGTTGTCTACTTATAAAATACATCAACATTCGATGTAATATAACAAAAACACACACACACACACACACGCACGCACGCACGCATGCACGCACGCACGCACGCACGCACGCACGCACGCACGCACGCACGCACGCACGCACGCACGCACGCACGCACGCACACACACACACACACACACACACACACACACACACACACACACACACACACACACAGATTATGTTCTATGTTAGTGCACTCTACTATAGGCAGTATTCATTTTTTTAATTGTATTACTTGAGATTAAAAGGTTATATTAACTAGGTAATATTAGACTTATTCCATCAATGCAGTGACAGGTAGAATGAATAATTAAAAATATAGTACCTAATTGTCTCGACCAATTACAATACATAGATGCACCAAATATTTATTTGCTTTGCAAAATATTGTACCGTTTGTTGTGTCAATATCAAATAACTTCGAAATATCGAGGTATATCAAATATTTCTATACAAGGTTTCAATATCCATTTTAACTGCTTTAAAAGCCTTTATAAATATAGTATAAATGAATTTATGGTTGATATAAACCTCTGGGAAAGAGGTGATCACTTCTACATGTATCATAAATGAGTTTTGTAAGCATGTGTACAACCAAAAAAAGTACGTCTGTATGTAATGCTGGTTTTTCCAGTTCAGTTGCAGGTTTTTCCATTTGAAACATTTAAAATAATTTAATCTTCAAATGCTTCCAGATATAGAACAAAGTGATCCGGTACTGCGGCGGCTCGTGCGACTGGACGACCTCACTCTGTGCTTGGACCGCGCCGATGCCGACGGCAAGATCCGCTTCTATCAGGAACCACTTCTCTACCGCTGCCAACTCGACTTCAGGTGCTTTTCATTTACTAGTTTTCCATTCTGTATTTTTTTTTAAATAGTACAATGATGACAAACGAGCACACAGTCTACCTGGATAGTAAGGATAATAAGGATTCTGTGGTTCATAGACATCTACATTTATCCTCAATTTTGTATAAAAATGCAGATGCGTTGTCACATTGAGGACTAAGATGGAATGCCTTTGTTTCGCTTCGGTTCATACGAATCACAGCAGTATTAAGTTACTATTTAACGCTGGTATTCTGTGAGAGCAGGTCTTACCTGGTCGAGCCGACCAATTCGTGGCACAATCATAATATATCTGCAGTGTGGCTCTACCACAATGAGAGTTAAAATTGTTCACCTTTGGGGCTTTCTCGGAAGAGGTGGTAACTGATATTCAAATCTTTGTCAATTATATTTTTTATTAATTACTACAATGTGTATATTTACCTGATTTTGTGATGCTTTGTGTTTTAAAATAAAATATTTCGAAATCGTTCTAGCATTGCTTCGCATTTTCTGTGTGATAATTAAAACTGTTCATAATAAAATTAAACATATTAATGTGATGTCAACTTGTATTTCGGTGACCTTATTGTGTCGAAAATTTGACTTTTAAAGTTGCTTGCGTTTAATTAATTAATAACTGGTTGGTGACCAAAAATTTTTTTTATAGGACGTCGTGACAAACGAGCACACAGTCCACCTGATGGTAAGTGGTTGCTGTGGCCTATAGACATCTACATCTATCCTCGTTTGCGAATCAAATAGCAGATGCATTGTCAGCCGTGAGGACTAAGATGGAATGCCTCTTTTCCAGTAAAAAGGTTCTCCGGTTCTCTACACTCACCATACGAAACACAGCAGTGTGAAACTGCTGTGTTTCGTATGGTGAGTGGTCGTATGGTAAATATACTTTGTAGCTTCTATTTACACTTATTTATATTGTTATGCTTATAAAAATGCGATGCGAATTATGCATATTAATATACCTATTCACCACATAGCTAGCTAGTAGAATGTGTTTTAAAAGCAACAAATAATGATCACACATTTTCATTTATAAATTTAAACTTTAAAGTCAAATATTTTTAAAGGCGAATCTCTATTGAAAAGATAAAATTATGGCGTAATGTGTTGGCGGTATAAGAATGTACCCATTTCTTCACGTGGGTGTCGTGAGAAGCGGCAATGGGAAATGACGGAAAAATGTTATGGCTTCCCATAGATGATCATATAACCATGTCTTTATGTAAGTTGTCAAATAGTTTGGAAAATCCAAAAGTGATCCAAATCCTCATGAGCGTTTCATTTAATCTTGATTAAAAAAAACTACCAAAATAAATCGAATACGCAAAGTATAAAATCGATATAGGCTGAATGGTACATTTGTCCTTTGTCTATCATGGGCTAAAAAATATGAAAGTGCATTTAAATTTTTTATAGCAATAAAACTTATAAAAGTTGAAAATATTTTATTAACAAACTAAGCGTACTAGGCTATCAATATGAAATAGGGAACCAGTTGATGTAATTCTGAAGCTAATAAAAAAAACCCGGTCTCTCGATATGTCAATTTTTTCGGAAGTTATCGTGACCACATACAAAATCAACATCGTCCGCTAAGCGTTGCGCATAGGCGAATCAAATAACCAAATTGCATTTGCGAAAAGTTGGGTTTTGGTTCGCTAATTGAAATGAATTATGTATATTAATATGTTAATTATTATAACTGAGATATTGCGTTCGTTTTGTTATACCAGCGACTATTGCTCTAAATGCGAATACCTATATAAAGTTAGTTAGGATTTATGTCTTTACATATCCGTCGCGAGTAACTTAGAGAAATTTAAAACATCCAGACACGGACCAAGTATTTATAGGCTATACAAATACCTTGCGGGATTCTATCTCGCGGATCGGCAGTATCGCAGCCATATACTTAGCCACTGCGCTACCAAGCTGAGAAGTTCCAAAAAGTTCAAACATAATCCCATTAGTAGCGACTAGCATTACAATTATGCTCACCAACTCGCCTGGCTAGCATGAGTGATATGAGCAGGTCTTTCAAAGTACGCGTGCCAGTGGGCGCTGTAAAAGTCCACTACTGACCATAGGCCTTCCTTATAGATTGCCTCATAGATTTTGCCATAGTTGCCACTCTTGGCAGGCGGGTTGGCAACCGCAGTTTTATATTATTTTGAGTTGTTATCAAGAAGCTGCTGCCCGTCTCCTATTTCAATTCACCTCTGTCGTCCTATTACGACATTCATACATCGATATGGGCTAGTGGATATTCCTACACCGCCCCTACATTGCATTCTTGAATAGTTAACTTAATGATTTCTAATATTTACGCGAAGTTTACATATTAAATGAAACTATTTTTTACGGATTCTATCGAGTTTCATTTAACTTTTTAATTCCCGACGTTTCGGGTGATTTACATCCTAGGTCACGGTGGGACGGGGGGAGGGGGGGGGGCACTAAGGTGTTTAACGGTCGATGTCATAGTTAGCCCGGCTACATTCAGTTTTTGAATATTAATTTTTGGTCCGATCTACGCAGAATGAGCTTACAGTATCTTGAAGTTTTGCAGTGGTATGCTTGGGTTTGGATTTAATTTTATTAATTTTGGGATTCCAAGCAGATGGCTGCACCCATCCATCTTCTCTATTGAAATGAGGATGTTTTTTAATTTCAATAATCTTGTGAATTTTTCTTGATAGGAATCTGTGTTCTTTTGCGAGGATTTATGGGCTATCAAATCAAATGTAATGGAGGGGACGATCTTGATCTCTTCTAGTTAATTTACTAATTTCCAGCAATGCGTTAAAATGTTGACAAAGAAAAAGAAAAACGTTGAATTCAATAACTTTTAACGATCTTTTTGAATCTATTTTACTTTGCTACGCTTGCGTGTATTTTAATTATTATAGTAGTATGAACTAGGTAATTGCGAAAGTGCGATATCTGTTGATTAAATAAGCATTATCGCGCCCTTGCGTAAATGTTTCATGCGGTGCGATAAAATTAATTTGAAACGATAAATTGATAGTGAATTTTATTATGTACTAGCGATCCGTCCCGGCTTTGCACGTGTGATTTCTGCATCGCGACAACAGCGCCAGCTACCGAGTCCAAATGTAAATGCAAAACATCTAGGGACCCATTCAAACACACACAAAAAATTTCATCAATATCGGTCGGGCCGTTTTTGAGTTTTAGTGAGGCTAACGGACAGCAATTGATTTTCATATAATATAGAGAGTACAGTACATAACAAAGAATTTGCTGTGCGATTTGTTTTGACACGTTGCGACTCGTTGGTGCTACTTTAATTTTTGCATGAGACCGTAGGTACGTCTACTGGACATATTTGTGTTCTTTCAAGTTTATTTATTTTATTACGATCACCAACAGAAATGACAATAGTGTTACATATAATATGTACATATATGATATTTGAACACTCATGATAATTGTACTTCTTTTTAAAGGTCATCACAACATACATTCATTTTATTCAATGTCACTAAATGTAAAAAAAAATATAATTAAGAATGTTAAATTAAAAAATAAATTAATATTATAAAAAAAACAATAAAATTGACCAACATTCTATCAGTAAATTACTATGAAAAATTACCTTGTAAAATTTATGCATTACAATAGTAATATAATTATATACTTACGTATATTATTATATTGCACAGATTAGCATTACGTTTATTTTATAAAATTGTATTTAAACATTATACAGAATTAATGAGTATTGTATTTAAAGAGAAGTAATAATTTAGATTTAAAAACATGTAAACTATCGCAAATAATATCGAGGACAGAGATATCTTCGAGTACAGTTCGTTATAGGTGCTTGCCAGTCTCGTTAAAGGCAACTCTTCACGTTGGCCAATATTGTAGCGAATATCGTGGCCAATACCGATGGCCATAGTGTAGAATAGGTGTTTGTGCTTAACTTTGTATGTATTGGAATAATGGCCCACAAGTTGACGCGAGATCCGTGTGGTGTCGGTTTTTTACAAAATATCAAAGGGTTGTGCCAGAGTATTAGCCGCTGCGTCCACACGTTGGGCGCACGTTTAGTTTGCTACGAGCTCCCAGAGTGATCGCACGCACCTGATTTAAATTTATATGCACGCATTGTAACTCGTGTCTACAAAAAGGCAGTAACAATGACCAATGAAGAAACCTTTCGCTTTATAGAGCTCTACCAAGCCGAAAATTGTTTGTGGAACAGAAGATATAAAATTTCTTTTTTTCCATTTCTTTTTGTTCACCCTTTTCTTATACACATTCACATAGTAGCGGTATGCTGTGAATAAATAAACCACAGCAGCCGTTAGCGCCTCAATATCTGTTTTAATATATTCGTCCGCACATTGGCTTGAATCGAAGCAAGCTGAACGACCTTCCAACGTATGAACGCCATCACAAACTCTTGGCTAATATATTTGCTAACACATTCGCCACTATGTTGGTTAACGGGACGAGCTGCATTAACGGAGAATATTTATCCATGTTCGATCGGTAGAACGCTACATAAAATTGGGCGCATGGTTTCCTGGCCAGCCTTGTTGGCACATTAAAGTTAAATAGTTATACTATAGCAGGAATTCATGGATCAATATTCTTATTAAACTTTTTATGAAGAAATATCATATCTGACATTTTTCTACGTGATTCCAGTGATGTGACATCATAGTGTTCCAGTCGTCTCTCATAGGAATTGTGGGTTCGATTGCAATTTGCACGCTAGATAACGCAGCAGTCTCTTTTGCATTCTTTCAATTCTAGTCCTATGGATTTTATAGTGAGGACTCCAAATTACGGTACAGTATTCTACTTTGCTCCTTACCAGGCTATTCAACAGTTTTATCGTACTATAGTTCGGCCGTTCAGAGAATGCGTTCCTGACACCTATCAGTTAGTCACGACTAGCACAACATAACACTGAGTTCGTTACCGTTCCTCCAAAATGAACCGCCGCGTTATTTTAAAATTATTTTCGTTTTAAATTGGCGGAATCATTTAAAATTTATATTTTAGTAATTCAAGTGGGAAGCAAAAAAAGGTAATATTAATATAATAAAATTGTTTTATTTATTCTTTGTTACAAAGTTACAATCTGTATTTCTATGCATTGAATTGAATGTGCGTACAGAATATTAATCAGACTCCGATTCGCTTGAGGAGGTGGTACATGTATAATTATATTATTATCAATAACAGAATCAATCCTGATATCTCGGTCAAAATGTTCCACAATCAGGGTTTTAGTCTTCTCAACAACCTTTGCCCAGTCATCTCTTGTGACTTCCCCGCAGGCTTCTTTTAATAGGGTCATCATCTTTTTCGTGCTGAATGGCGGGGAAGTATTGTGGCGGGCGGCGTAACCTTTTATTTGAGCCCAGATTAGCTCAATCGCGTTATATTGGCAATGATACGGTGGAATTCTTAGAACGCGATGACCGTACTCCAGAGCCAGTTCATCGATTTCGTATCGCACATTTGCCGCTTTATTTTCTTTAACTAATTTAATTAGCTCCGGTTTTAGCATCTGCATATTTGCGTCAATGCCTTTTGCTTGTAACCAAGCCACCGTTTCTTCTTTTTTATTAGCTTGGGTAGGTGGTTTCTGTATTTGAACCGAGTGATAGGAGGCATTATCCATGAATATTACAGAAGGCTCTGGTAGGCTGGGCAAAAGCACGTTCTGGAACCACTATTTAAATGTAAGGGCATTCATTTCCTCGCGGTAGTCATTTGTGGTTTTTGATTGAAATGCCAGTAACGCGTTCTTCACAAAGCCATATTTTGCAGAACCTGCGTGGCATATTATCAGACGGGCCCCCTTACCCATTGGTGGACGTCGACGCTTGTGTATCATCCGTCCAAGAACGGGAAACCGTGTGATTGGCGTTTAGCCATGTCTCGTCAATGAACACGACATTATCCCAGTTATCAATATTTTCTAACAAAACAATAAACGCAAGAGACAGCCCTATTTCTCCTTTAAATAACTTAGACAGTGCCAACAAAATGTAAACCAAAGGAGAATTGACTTTTATTTACTTCGGCACAAATAGGGTTATCTAATATCAGCCTTCCTTTTCACAAAGCAAAATGATTAAACACTATCACAAAACAATATACATAATTTTCCAAATAGCGCGACATTCAATTTCAAATTAACTCAAACTTTCCTTTCAGCAAACAGACGCAACAATCAAATACAATGATTAAATATATTTACAAAACATATGCAGCAGCATTTAAAGGGGTAGATTAAATTCAATTCTT